CGCTGTTTTCAGAAAGCAAGTGCGTTTATCCCTGTTTTTTACAGTCTATGGTTTATCCACAGTGGTGAGAGAGCGCACCTGCACATGGTTGCCAGGTTGACAAAGATAAGTAGCACATTTAGCAGATATTTCCATATTCCGCAAGTGTGAAGCTCTGTTTCGAGGATTACGTCTCTTTATATCAGGCAGCCCAGTTGTTCCTCTGCGGCCAGATTAAACCTTGTTGTAGCCTATATATGCTCTATTCATTCTTTTTTAGAAACCTCGCACTTTTATACTCAATTTTAAATGTTGTAAAATTTTAAACCAATTAAGCGCGGTCCACTGCTGCACACGTGCCACAATATCGATACAGGGCCAGCTGTATCGATACTCGTATCGTCAAATCTCTGTGACGATACATCGTCGTATCGATATTTTGAACACAGCACTATTAAACACGTATTTATACCGATTTCATCAGGCTCCGAAAATTCTTCAAAAAGAACACAAAGAATGGCCTTCTCAGCTGCCATAGTTGCAACTCTTGCATCATCAGAACAGGGTGTTCAACGCACCACCGTTTCCGTTTAAAAAACGTTTTATCAGGGCTAAAAGCAGCCCTGATTTCAACTCTCCTCGATGCCCTCAACGTCCAAGTCGCGCCGCGCCGCTGTGTGGCGGTGTGAACGCACGGTAAGTGGGCTCCAGATAACTGCTCTGACTACGAGCTAAATCGTGGCTACGCACAGTAGGGATGGGCGATACCACTTATTTTGTTTTCGATACAATACCAATATTTTTCAAGGCAGTATCATCGATATCGATACCGATTCGATACTTCTGAACTAAACTTTTACATTATGAAATGTATTAAATTATTAAATTACTAAGAGTAAAATGGGTAATGATAAGCACTTAACTTTGTTTAAAATGCATTTTAACATTCAATACGCCTTAATTGTAACTTATTAGGTTATATTTTTGTTTACACATGGTTCAAATGTTTTTTGTTTACACATGATTCAAATTTATAAATACTAGTTGAACTATGGTCACTTTAGTAAAACCATGGTTCATTTTCATAAGGGACTGCCAGTGACCGGCTGTTGCATGCATAAAATGCAACCTTTTTATTCTGACAGTGTATGATTTCTATTAACATTACAGAATAGAACATGATCAATATTATCTTTCAACGTTCAATTTAAATAACTGTAATTGCACAAACTATGTAGGCTACAATTTCAGTTTGTTTATTGTGAAATAACTCTGTCCTTCTGTCCTCTGATAAGCATTGTTCAGGGCTGCCATTCCCAAAAGCTTTAATGCTTCTTATGATACTTTTGGGAAAAGCAGCCCTGTTTGAATGTACTGTCAGCAGTGAGTGAACGCTCTGTGATTGATTGGTTCTGTCTTGCAACATTTGCGTGT